GTCATTCACTCCTTTTCCATCAAACGCACGTATATAAAAACTTCTATTGCAAATATGGTGGTAGTCTGGTGGTGTTGCATACAGTCTCCGATACCAGAATTACTTCCATCAAAGATGTATTTCTTCTATTCAATGCTGACTTTGTATTATCTTAATATAAAAAGTCGTCAAAGATGACGTGCTCGGCATCTTCATTTCTCCTGAACAAGACGGACGGGCACTCAGGTGAGTTGCCGTGCTTGAAGCGATGTAGGCGTTAGTAAGCGAGCTCGGAAACATTAGTGCCCGGAAAACCTCTGTGTAAGATAAGATAATAGTTATTAACTTCCCGTAGGGTAAGTTATAGTAATCGCAAAAAAATCGAAAATGAAAATTTTTATATATCTTTACGTTTCAGAGGTTTCTGAATATTTTGGCATACCTTAGAAAAAATGGATGTATGTGTGTGTGTGTGTGTGTGTGTGTGTGTGTGTGTGTGTGTGTGTGTGCGTGTGTGTATGTATGTGCGGATACAAATTTTCGTCGACGATTTCGGGAACACGGATCAACCGATTTGAATAATTTAAAAAACATTCGATTCGTATTGATAAGGAAACGTGCTGATTAGTTTTTGGCAAAGGCAGGTCTAGCCGTTCCGGAGATACGGGGCAAAAAGTGCCGAAAACGGTAACTCAGTTTTTAAGAGAACGGAGCGTCCGATTTTAATAATTCAAAAAACATTTTACTTGTATTGACAAGATAAAGAATTGATCATATTTTCATAAAGGCAGGTCTAGCGGTTTCGGAGATATAACGAAAAAAGTAAAAAAAAATGCCATTTGGCGGTCAAAAATGATCATTAGACATATGCACATCAAATTTTCAGATATTTTATAGAGATTTTAACAATAAGTATAAATTTTGTTTATTTTCCTATGGGTTCCGTATCAATGTTTACCCGTTAGACAGCGACGCCGCGCTTACGCGCTTTATATTTCGTCTCTATGCAGTTAAAGCAGTACGATTGCTCTGAAAAACAAGTTTAGATCTTCCAAAATATGTCAAAATAAAGAAAACATTTTTCTTAAAAAAAAAAATAAAAATTAAAAAAAAATTTTTTTTTTAAAAATTTTTTTTTAAAAAAAATTTTTTTTCAAAAAAAAGTAATTTTTTGTCCAATTTATAGTTTCTCACAAATCTTATTTTTTCAAAGTAATTTTTTTTCAATTTTTCAATTTTAATCGTTTTTAAAAAAAATAATAATTTTTGGTACGGGAAGTACCAGCAATTTGCCTTAAGGCACGATGCCCTAATTGCCTTAAGACAGAATTCCACTTACAGCTAGTTCAATACTGAAACTTTGTATAGTTTATTGTCTTAACGAACATCATGAAATATATTACTACGACAAATATTAGAATTGGTATTCTTGATTCAGTAGCGAGACGCGGTACACTGGATGATGGGCTACGGCGTGCGGCTATTTCGGTAAATTATAAAATCTTAGTATAGTTTATTTAAATTAGTTAAAGTTATTAGTTTAATTAAAAAAATGCAATATGCAAATGAATAATGGGATCTCAAGAAAGCATTAAGTTGAAGTATTTCTGGTAGTTATACTATATATTACTCTAGGCAAAATACCGCTTATGCCACATTACCACTTACGCTTTACTCCAACGGTTAAATGTTATAAATCTTGCTATTTACATTTACATTTACACATTTACATATTTACACATTTACACATTTACATTTTTATTTACACATTTACATTTACATTTACATGTACATTTACATTTACACATTTACATTTATATTAACATTAACACATTTACATTTGCATTTACACATTTACATTAACATTCACACATTTACATTTATATTTACATTTACACATTAACATTTACATTTACATTTACACATCAACATTTACATTTACATTTACACATTAACATTTACATTTACATTTACACATTAACATTTACATTTACATTTACACATTTACATTTACGTTTATGTTCACGTTTATGTTCACGTTTACGTTTACATTTACATTTACACATTTACATTTACGTTTATGTTCACGTTTATGTTCACGTTTACATTTACATTTAGCATTTACATTTACATTTACATTTACATTTACATTTACATTTACATTTACATT